TTTTGAAGGTCAAAAAGTCGCCTTTGCACAGAAAAAAGTAACAACGTACTAAATTTTTATTAAATTAACTTTCGAAGAATTTTTACCCATGGTTGGAGAGAGAATAATTTGAATTTTCCAAATCAAATCACTTCGGCGCTGAAGCTCGAATATGAAGGAAGTTATAGCCCTAGAAAGAGGAGTGTAAAAATTGTCTTGCAATTTTATTTTTTGCCTAATAACTTATTCATTCCGAAGTGTTTGAGAACAAATGAGCACTCGTTAGGAAGGAGGAGCCACGTCGATCCAAAATCCACCTGAATCTTCCGAACTACCTGAAATGTAAAAAAGAAAAACTCCTCGAATTTTCACACTCCCCGTTCGACGCCTCTTCACCGTGAGCAAATGCGCTCCACCGTCAGGAGGCCAAAGGGACTTACGTAGCAATAAATATTGATGGCAACACTGTCTCTACACAAGTGTTACATACAAGGGGGGTCGTATCAAATCACCCATGAAGGGGGGGGGGTCGTAAAAAATTTCCAAAGAGTAACAACGATAGGGTTGACCCTGATTAGTATACATATACGTATTGATTGAAATCACTGGAGAGTAGTAGATTGCGATATTACGATAGTAGGATAGTAGTAGAGTAGGAGATTAGGATAGTAGTGCGCTGACAAGATTAGATATGTATTGATCTATTCGCTTGAAGTCGCCCAATCTACTACTCTCCAGCGATTTCAATCGATACGTATCCAATCTTGTCAGCGCAATCTCCTACTCTACTACTATCCTAATATCCTGTCGCCTACTATCCTAATCTCCCGAGTCGCGAACTATGAACGCGGCCTAAGGTATTAACACGTTGACGACAACGCGCGTTTTGGGTTTTTGCACCGCGTGGGACCAGAGCGATTTTGCAGGCGCCGCCGCCTCACATCAAATCCGTGAATTTTGAGCTTTAATACGCAAAACTCGGATGCAACAAAATGTTTCGAATGATATTCGATGTGTCAAACTTATCAGAAGGAACAACTGTAAAAGTTCGATCGAATTGACGTTTTCTGGCAATGAAAGGCAAGTTTCAGTTGCTTTTGCTGTAGTGAACCTCAAAATTATTTTTGACGCGGTTGCTCCACTAAAAACATATGTCTTGCTATATGTGTAGGTCTGTACTTACTTCTACTACTCTTTTTTATGACCAAGATTGTCAGAATATAAAGAAAACTAGGAATATGACCAAGGTTGTCAGAATATAAAGAAAACTAGGAATGAACACAATTGGGAAATTCGTAGGACTTGGAAAACCTTCGCTAAAAAGGAGCATATTCAACCATTCGATGAACCTCGCCGTGTCTAGTCATATTATGGTGTGGTCTATAGAATAGATGCAAAAAATTAGAAAAGAAGTAGCGCATGCGCGAAAAAATTAATATTTTGTGTGTGCAGCGCATGCGCTGCACACGGTCAACGTGTTAACCATCCTTCCGAGCGCTTCCATGACTATCCTATCTTCATTTCGCTACCCCAGCTTGTGGTCCCCCTCCGTCGGACTACTGTTGAGGTCACACTCGAGGCTGCAAGTTCACTTCTCATTTCAACGTAATGCCTTTCATGGTATATCTCTGCCGAAAGGCTTCAGGTGAGGAAGGAGCATGTTCGAACGAACCTTCTTGCTACGTGGCTGCTTACCTGCGCGTATATGAAATGCTACGCCGTAACTCACGTTGCGTGTCATGGGGTTGATGCGAGGGATCTCGTCGATTAGCTCATATTAGCCGTCAATAGCTCTCTGTGTAAGGCCCTAGCGCCCCGACATTGTCGCACGCTTTCAAGCGGCGACAACGGCACATCTGTAAATACATAAGGGACTCTTTCCTACCCATAAAATAGATTGTTCCGTATGACCTCATCCGGGGTTGTTGCTTTATCTTTCTGTGAGAATCTGCGCTGTTTCGCAAATTCAAGAAATACCGCGAAATTAACTGCTGTTCGAATTTGTAATAAGTTAAACATTTGATGGGGCGTAATCTTTTTGGAATGCGCCACGAATGCGAGTCTCAGAGTGTGTTTTATTAGCATTGCATGTTGTATGCTTGCTTCTACAATGAGTTGCGTGAGTTAGCTTATGTGCGATCTCCCCGGACGAGTCTGATGTCCTGGAGTAGACGGACTTCTTGTAAAAAATTATTCTGCTTATTTTGCAGGCAGTTCTTGTGTTTGGTTGGCTGCCATGGTTGTGGTATACGTGCCAACCTTACCCACTCCCATCAGTTGTATTTCTCGTAGTGAATTCGTTAGTGGATGCTATTATCGATTTACCATGGGACATGTATGACACTTTTGTTATCGAGGAGAAACATGGATTCAATAAGCAAACAGTCGGTTTCTACATGTGGGATAAGGTAGGCT